ACCAGTTACTTTTAAGTGGCCAACTTGTCCCTAATCTTACTTCTTATACCTGAAAGAACCCTTTTGGGTTAGTCTTTGAATCCCTTGTGACCTTAGCCTCATAATCCCTTTTTGCTTTTCATATTGTGTGTGAAGAGGGAGCTTGCCAAGGCTCTTTTGGTTTTCCCTTTACCTCAGGAAGTTTGGGCTGCACCACTACAGGTCTGAAAAGGATCCACTGCAACTACAGTCTTTTGTTTCTTGGATTTAAATGTGCAACTGCTCATCTTTCTTACTCTTCTTTTTGAATATGTGGAGGATCTGACAGTTTAGATCATAAGACAATTTGGAAAATGATGCAGAAGTATTAAACCCATGCAGGCCATTCAGCACAAGTAGTGAAGGCTCAATTCTCCATTAATGATACAAATATGCAACTCTCACCTACGAGGTCAGAGGGCTCAGCCCTTTACGAAAGACTGACCCTTGGCATTTCAATATTTTTTTTTTCAGAAAATGCATAGGTGGAAGCACATAAAATGAAAAACAAATGGAGGATTTAGTTCATTAGTATCTTAGCTAATAGTTAAGGAAAAGGAGTTAATGTTTGGGTGTCAGGCAATTGCTTGTAGTCTGAAGTTTGACCCTCATTTTGTTTTCATGCTATTGCTGTAGCATTAGAAGAGTTCATCTTAGCTACAAGTGAAGATATTAACTGTACTTTCACTGTTAGAAGTTATTTGGCAGGATTATCAATAGTGTGCTAGTAAAAGTCAGTTGAATGCCACATACTATAATTGCTCCATTTAAAAATAAAAACTTTTGATGATCATATTGCATTAGCAATTTGAGTGGCATCTGTAGATACATGGATACATATTTAATAAATAACTTAAGAGTAAATGTATGTTGCTGGAAACTACAAATACTGTCTAAGTCACTTTCTATCCCCTGACTAATGCAATGGAAGTTGGAAAGGTGTTTTTTTTTAATGCCTATAACCAGTACTTTGAGTAATGGGCTACCATCTTGGATATTTAATTTAAATACAGTATATGATAAATATCAGATAGGAAGGCAGGGTAGGGGTCGTCCTTGAAAAGGCTGGAGGGAGGAGGTAAATGTGGTTTTGCGGGCGAAGGGCTTGGACTTCCAGCGTATGTGAGCTTGTTAGATAGGAGTGAATGGAGATGAATGGTTTTTGGGACCTGACAAGTTGTTGGAGTATGAGCAGGGTAATATTTTGTGAAGGGATTCGGGGAAATCCAGATAGCCAGACTCGAGTCCTGGAAATGGGAAGTACAATGCCTGCACTTTAAAGGAGGGGTTTGGGATATTGGCAGAGTGGAGGGACATCTAAAGTGTCATATCTGCGCACCTCTGCAAAGACAGTGATTATGTATGAGTCACAGTGAAAGTATTGAATGATGATCAAAAGTTTTTCTTTCTTTTTGGGTCACCCTGCCTCGGTGGGAAGAAGCCAATGTGTTAAAAAAAAAAAAAAAATCCTACCAGCATTTAAGTAATAAAGTTGACTAAAACACTCGGTATTCTTATGATCTATGTCTTAGTGTTCATGGATGATTGGAAACCACCTTGTTGGTTATCTTGAATTTCTCATTCTTGAGGATGGCAGAGTGGCACTTGCTGGATTCTTAATATTGTCACCTTAAGAGGTTCAATATCAGTTAACAATTATGAACTCTAAAATTCCAGGTTCTTCCATGAGACTGGTGTCCTCTTTGCTTGTGGTGTGAGAGAATATAAAATTTTCAGAGCAGCTTCCTAGCTGTTGTAGAAGGAACATACTCAGCCACATTTTCCCAGCATGAGTGGCACTACTGGCATCTTTTTTTTAAAATCTGTTACTCTTTCAGGAGGGTGCCTTGGTGGCTCATGGCCCGGTAGGCAAAGCTCTCGATTCACACGCAGAGGGTCTGGGTTCAATTTCCAGCAAGGGTAGAAAAATTTGGAGTTTCCTTACACCTATTGTCCCTGTTCACCCATCAGTAAAATGGGTACCTGGGTATAAGCCAACTGGTGTGGGTTGCATCCTGGGACAAAATTGACCTAATTTGCCCAAAATGCTCTGCATAACATGGGGTTTTCTATATAGTAGTATACATTAGTGTCAGCTAGGCCTGTATACCTTGTATATGTACTTGTAGAAATAAAGATATTATTGGTGCTGAAGAATTCTTGAGCCAAGGAATTGGATCCACTGTCCTTTCCTCAGATCAAACCTGATTACTTTCCATTTCCCAAGTGATGTATGGTCCCCTGATACAAGTTAATACACTTGTCCTCGCCTTCCTTAGATGGAATCTGATTGCCTCCCATTCCCCAGACACTATGACCCCAGTGGGTTTAGTATTTCCCTCTAAATAATAATAATAATTACCCTTATGGGTTTAGCACTTAATACAATTACACAGAATTAATCTGCCAGATATGTAGAATTTTCCATTGGATTATTTTCTGTATGCTCTAGATATATGCTGAAAGCATTTACTCTTATCAAATTCTGATGTAATTTCTTTTTATTCATAACATGGAACATTTTCTAATGCATTAAATTTTCTTTTGATTATTATAATAAAAAAGAAGCGCTAACCCTGGAAGGGAATTTTCTTTCCAGACATTCAAGGACTGCAGATGTTAGCACCCCGTGATAGACACCACAACACGCAAGCAAGGTTTCCTTTTGACATTTTTTACCGCATAGTCAAAAGCACCAGTTAAAAAAAAACACTAAAGGGAAAAGTATTTTTCCAATTTTAAGGGAAATGCTAACCCGTAGGGTCATTCAATTTCTGGGGAATAGGGGCAATCAGTTTCAACCCAAAGGGAAAGGGGAAAAAGGGGTTTATTTTTTTTGTGTGGGGGAGGGGGGGGGGGGATGTGAATTCATGATCATTTTCTTTGGGCCCCCATTAAACCTCTCTGTATTGGTCTTATTTTCCTCATCTTTGTGATGCTAGCTGGGCAGTAGTTCCCATCTTCAAATGCCATTTTCTAATTAGCCCCTTTTGGGCAATGACAGTGTCAATTTAATCTTAACCTGTCCCCCCAACGAAAATTTTTCCCTGCATCTTCCACACAGAATACAAGAACCCCCACAATAGTGTTGTTTTTGTTGTAGCCTGTCAGAATTTCCGGCCAATTTCCCCCTTTTTTCAGCACTGGTAATGCCACCCTGGTACAATTCTGTAAATGCATCCCTTGGGGCCCCTTGGGTTACCCAAGGGAAAAAAGGGGCCATTATTGTACCTCAGTGAAAAAAGTAGGGTTAAACATATTCCTCCATTTTTTTTGTTTCCCCTAAATTATAAAAATTTTTTTTTTTTTAACGGGGTTTCCCAAAAGGGGGAAAAAAAAAAACTTTTAACCTTCCCCCCATCCCCCAAATCAACAAATTTTTTAAAAAACCAAAAAAACCCCCCTCCTTCAATCACACTGTACCCCTTTCCCGGATAAGGGGGCTTTCCCAACCCCAAAAATTTTTTTTTTACATAACAACGCCCCCCAAAAAAAACCCCCCAAACCCCCCCAAACCCCCCGCACCCCAAACCAAGCCCCCGCACCAAACCCCTTTAACCCCCCCCCTCCACCCTTCCTAGGCCGACCCCTACCCCCCCTTTCCTTCCACTACAGACGATACACCTTGAAGTCATTCTTTTTCGCCCTTCTCTCTACATGTCCGAACCACCTCAAAACCCTTCCTCACCCTCGGGACAACTTTTTTGGTAACCCCCACCCCCCCTAACTTCCAAACTACAATTCTCTGCATTATATTCCACCACACTTTGCCCTAAAACATAAAAAACATCCCACTGCCTCCAGTATAGTTCCCAAACTACTACATTCCCGAGATGTAATTTATCATTTTTTTACCCCTATTAAACCCACTGCTATTATTTTTAATAGTATATTCACACTTTTAACGCAACCACCCCCCTAAGCCTTTACCCCCACCCCTGTCCTTTTTTTCTACTATTTTTATCACCTGATCTTGAACGTTTTGATGGGATGTGCGTGAGCGGTTTGATAGGATGAATGGAGACAAGGGGTTTTTTTAAACTTGATGACGTGCTTTTGGGAGTGTGAGCAAAGAAACTTTAGAAGGGTTCGGGGAAACCCGGGCGGGCCACCGAGTCCTGGAGATGGGAAAGTACAGGCCTCACTCTGAAGGGGGGAGTTAAAATTGCAGTTTAAAAACTTATGTAAAGCACCCTTTTGAAAGACAGTAGGGGTAATTGGTGAAATTTTTTTTTTTTCGGCACCCTGCCTTGGGGGGAATCGCCAGGTGAAAAAAAAAAAAAAAATATCTTTTCCCAAATTCCTTCCCCCTCCCCTTTCTCGCCCATCTTCAGAGGTTCTCACCATTTTCCCCCCTCACTGCAACTTGAAATGGTCCTTTTTACAAATCAACACTTCGCCCAAAGTTTCCTCTCCAACATGTGGTATTTTTAAAAAAGTTTAACATCTGTCTTTTATTAAGGGGTAGCTGCCTTTGTGCTCATACTGAGGACCAGGGCTTTGATCTGTCATAAATGAAATGCGAACATATTTTTTTACACCCGGGGCTTTTATTCACCTAGCATATGACCTAGGTTGGGGAAAAATTGGGTGCATCCTGGGAAAAAAGATAAGAGGAAATTAGAGAGTCCTCAAAGGCATCTTGACTTTCTTTAGTTATTCTGAGTTACTAACCTCACCATCTCCATCTGCAGTCTCATGCAAACTGAAAAGCATGAGTTGATGCTTATTTCTTGACACTGAACACCTCAATTTCCATGTCTGCGAGTGCTAAAAGTGTAAAGGTCATATAGCACCTGGGGAAATGGGAGGTATTCAGGTTTAATCCAAGGAAAAGGAGGGAAGTTCCAATTCCTTGGATCAAGACCTCCTCACTGGCATCAAGGAACCTCCTTTAAGGGATGAATAAATAAACGACAACTTACCTTTTTTTTGGTACATTTATTTCAGATCAAGTATAATCTCAGCTCCCATGGTATAACACGTTCTAAATTACACAAAAGTACAATTGAATTAGATACATGAATTCCGAGCACTATATGCAAACACATCAAAGATCATAAATAGCTGCCTTTTTAACCTTTTCTATAATAAACCAGGGAGATGAGAGTGAGAAAGAAGTCACTTAACCTGCTAGTGTGTGAGACATACAGACTCTTAAGCTACAGTGGTTAGAGAACACTAAAGACGCATTCCACAATATGAGAGGAGACTTTTCAATAGTTTTAACTTTTATCACTCTTCATTTTTAAGTATTTTTAAGGTTTAAGCTCTGTGGTACACCAATGAGCACATAACCTTAAAAATTTTGTGACAAAATATCTTAAAAGGATATTTTTCAAAATGTTATCTAAAACCAATGCCCCTACATGCATGGAACACGACCTGACACTCGAAATACCTGGTAGCAGTAGCTACTCTTAGGCTTTTGCACACCTGACTTCCACAAGAAGAAGCACTTTCATTCACGATAAATGTCAATACTTACTAGATCTAATTGTGACTCCATTTTACAGCCTAGCAAGTAAGTCCTACTATGATGATATCTCCTTGGCAATGAGCAAATTATAGCAATAGGAATATGCTAAGACATGGTCCATGGATTAAAACTGATGAAATCCACAAAGTAAGATTTCCTTTGATAAAAATAAATCCGATCCCCTCAAAGGAAATTAAGCTATGATTAAACCCGAGCAAAGAAATTGATTCTTTTTAATGGCACAAAATAAAATTTCATGATAAAATGAACTGCTGTGGGAGACCCTGCGCCATGACGAGAAACTGGAACTACAGAAAAGTCACGTAGTATAAAATGATACAACTCTATTATACGACACAAAACCCTGCACCACTCATATGTACATGCTCAATATATATCTAAGGTATATGCTGTGAGTGGTAGGGTAAGTTAGCTTTTATGTACTGCTCCTATATAATTAAACAACAAACTATAGCATATATACTATAGAACAGAGTCTGGGGAACAAATAAGGAATGATGCACGAATCTTTAGCTCTTGATACACTAAGTTTTACAAAAAGGAATGGCTAATTGAAAACAATTAAGAAATGGCATCAGAGGTATGCAATTTTATATATAGTGAGACGTCAAGTTGTCTTGTATCTGCGGCAGTCACTCAGTGGTTTCCCCACGTCTGCAGGGTTTTACCTTGCATGACCTGGCCATCTGTTTCCAGCTTAATGTATAACAGTACAAAGGCTTCATTATTTGACTGTGTTGATACCAAACCTCTCTACAACCAGTACCAAGACTCAACTTACACGTAAAGTATGAGCAGAAGATTGTGTTAGGGAAACCTGTCTATTTCCGCAACAGCTTACTGAAGGCAAGCAGCAACACTTACGTGTACGTACGGCAACACTTACATGTACGTACAGACATACGGAAAAAAGTACTATAATTGGATATTTGTGTCCTCCACTGATAAAGGCCATTACCATGAAAGGTAATAACCCAATTTAAATTTGTTTCAAACTTTTTCACATTCCACGAAATATAGCCTTATACAATTACAATAGTGCACTAGATATTTACCTTCATAAATATGGAGTTGATGAGAGGTATAAAGTACAAGTTCATTTATGTTAACTTAAAAATTCCTCACTCTACATGTAAAACCAACTCTTAGTGACATCTGCAATTCATTGGAGCTTAAATTTTTGTCATGATGATCAATTAGAAGACAAATAACAATATTTAAAAGTAAATAATGGATCAAAAATATATTTATATATATATTTATATATATGTATATGTAAAAAAATTTACAGATCTAGAGATCTACCTTGGGATTGATAAAATAAAAAAAAATGTCTAAACGGCACCTTGATGAGAGGGAAATGACAAAAATATAATTTTGTCCTATCAATGAGAAAAAAAAAAGATAGCTGACTGCATAAAAATAATGTGTGAGAGACCACTTAATTCTTGGTGCCAAGTTCAAGAGGCTCCCAAAAAGGATCCCTATCGCTAAGCAACCAACCCGTTATAAGTAACGCCATCAGGAATTCTGGGCTTCAGATGGTGCCCCAAGACTGCTCCATTGTCATTTATACAACTCCGGTGCACTAAAGTCATTGGTGATTAATTAGCATAGAAAATTTATTGACAGTCCTAATTTACATAAGCAAAAAAGATAACTGGCATCGTAAGTGTAAACTTGCACCTAATACCACACCAGAGTATATATAAGATACAACATACGCAAGTGCAGCCAAATGGAACACATCCTATATCCAGTACACCTAACTTTGTTACAGTTTTTATGATAATTTACAACTGCAGTGGCCAATAACTTTCCAGAAAGTTAGTCTATGATAAAAGCATGATAAAACCTATTTAGTTTTTCTATGATAACAAATTATTGTTAATTCTATGTATGTTGGACATGATACATCATCTACACTGAAGTATAATACCAATACTTCTCTTATCCAAGATACAGGGAACCAGCATCTTCACATATTGTCTTTTAATGCTGATTTTGTATCTAATATCTACATAAAGCATTAAATTATATAAAAAAAATAGATTCAAGTTTACTGATCCTGGATAAGTGCAATATTGGTGACTAAAAACCAATGACTTAAGGCTTGAGTTTCACATGACTTTCACAACTGTGCACCTCAGAATCAAAATTTGCCAATTCCATGGAATGTTATAAAAAGTTAAAATTTAAAGACATTTGCTTACTTAAGAGCATAAAATATTAACACACTGCAAATCAATACTTTATATATAAAATCCAGATATTCACTGTTTATTATGTTGTGTAATAAATGAGAGGTCTCTCTGGATTGTATCAGTCTTGATAATCAAGCTTGTAATTATACATAGCCAATTTATTTCCTTAAATTCATTGACTGTATTGACAACTGATGATTCTGAAATCACAATGCATACCATCAGCACCTGTGAGCTTAGCTTTGCTACCACTTACCCAATATCTCCATTTACCATTTCTTATGTAAATGACCCTTAAAGCAACCTAGTTTGGGGTCACTTGTAAGTTCTCAGTCTATAATTAATGCTCTCAGTCAACAGGTGTCTGATGTTGGGAAAACGGACGAATGGTTCCCCTCTTATTTATATGGGATGTATAAATGCCCCTTGTTCGCTTGTTTATTTTTCTTCAAAATATTTATAAGTGGGGTTTTCATAACCATTGACCTGCATATTAGCTACATGCCTCTCTTCTGGAGTGATGGCCTGGTCCACTTCCATAAATCCCTGAAATAATTAATATGTAGTATTTTAAATAAATGTGAATGGAAAGATTAATGGGATGAGATGCAAACAGTAGAGGAAGAAAAGTGACTTTTCAAGTTCAGATTTTTAATGTGATTGATGATAATTTTATTTATACCACAAAAAATTATTACTGTTTACACAGTTTCGTGAACACTCACTGTCGTCATATGACTGCCATTGTTGAGACATTTTTGGATGACAGGACTCTGGAAAACTTTGCTAGAAATGCTGGATTCACCTCATGGAAGAGATGCGACAGGCAAGAACAAGGAGGAGGTGTGGTCATATGTTTTTCTAAGTGTTTCAAACCCAGCTCACTGATGTTGCCAAGGAGTTGTATCATAAAGAGTTGGAGGGGGGGGGGTGAAGGAAGTTCTAAGTAGTTCAGGCTTGAGAAGCCAGCAGGTATGTGTAAGCACGAAAACCTTCAGGGTCGGAACCGATCTGAAACGTGCTCTCAGGGATGGAGAAATAAAAACAAAAAAATCTTATGAAATGATACTTTTTCTGAAGGTAATGAAACCGAAAGTAAAAAATTTTAAATGGAAAACTTATGGAATTATGCTCCCCCAAAAGTTAGTATCTTAGTGATGTTTATGCATCTTTAGTTTTCGCCCACTTCTGGCCAATTACATTGTTCCAGTCGACCAAACTCATAGCTTTTGCACTAGTACTCCTTCTATTCTAATAACTGAGTACAAGAAACCACCCATTTACCTATTTCAAAAAAATAAAGATCAGAAATTGGTAATTTGGGCCAGTTTTACACAAATAAAAAAACTGCCAATTAAAAAATAGGGTCCAGAATAAACAATGTACACATTTATGGCACCAAAAATAACATTTCTGCTGTTTATTAGACATGTCTCCAGGCCTCTCCTATATTATGCTTGCTTTCCATTTAGAATTTTTATTCCCCCACAAAAAAAAAAAGATTTACTGTTATGCAGACACCCCATTGCTGTAATAATTGTTTAAATAATGTCAGCGCATTTGTTGATACGTATTATACCAACCAGTTGGACGAATATTGGACAAGTGACAATTTGTGTACTGTGGAATACTGGTAAAAATCGAACATTGCTGCTACTTTGAGCTTGATTCCAAGATACTTTCATTCCTGAAACAAATCAAAATCATCTCTATTTCTTTAATATATCTTTTCTATATATTACAGAAATAGAGATGATTTTGATTTGTTTCAGGAATGAAAGTATCTTGGAATTAAGCCTGCACTCTAAAGGAGGGGTTTTGGGATATTAGCAGTTTGGAGGGATATGTTGTGTATCTTTATACGTATATGCTTCTAAACTGTTGTGTTCTGAGCACCTCTGCAAAAACAGTGATTATGTGCGAGTGAGGTGAAAGTGTTGAATGATGATGAAAGTATTTTCTTTTTGGGGATTTTTTCTTTTTTTTTGGGTCACCCTGCCTCGGTGGGAGATGGCCAACTTGTTGAAAAAAAAAAAAAAAAAATCTTTTCTATCAAGTGTGACCAAGAAACCGAGAATACAACGATAAAAACCATATGAAAATATGTACACCGCAAAGTCGGATTTAATCCAAAAAACACGGTTGCAGTTTTTTCCTCCCGTTATGCACCGCTTGCTGCAGGATTTTTTTTATATGGTGCACACTTACCGCAAAGACCCATTCCCTCATATCTATGCTGAAATTTACTGCTCACAGTTCATCTGAGTGAGCTGAGCTCATGGTGTAGAACAATGGGACCAACCTGGGCTTCAAAGCCATAGTGATATGCAACCGACCCTAAAAGGGTTAGTAAAGAGCAGAAGCAAATGGTTTTAAGACAATGTTCTGTTGGAGTGTGAGCATGGTAACATTTATGAAGGAATTTAGGGAAACCAGTTAGCCAGGATTGAATCCTGGAGGTGGGAAGTGCAGTGCTTGAACTCTGAAAGAGGGGGTGGGGGATGTTGCACTCAAGAGGGTAATTGAAGTGTAATGGCAAGGCCAGTAACTAAATGAATGAATGATTAATGTATTTTCTTCTTTGGGTCACCTTGCTTTAAGATTAAGATGTTTACTTTGACACATTACATGGTTGTACAGAGGAATATAATAGTTGGGTGTACATGCCCAAAAAAACCCCCTTTTTATGCAAGCATTTCGGGCAAACTTAAGGATTAGCTTAAGATTAGGAAGGCAATGATACATAGTTCATATGGTCATTAGATGAGTTACAGTGAGTACATGGTTTTGATGGAGATAGCTGATGAGGTTAAAAACAAAAATGGAATAATGAATACTAATTGTATTACTGATAACATTTCTGAAAAAAATTCTGTATCTGTTCTTCAGTTAATAAATCATGGGACTAATTCATAAACGGGGAAAACCATATTCTTTAAAAAACACTTTTGCTCGGGTATACTGAAATTTTAAACCTCAGCTTTTAAGCAAAAAAAAAATTTCAAAAAAAAAAATAGCAATCTTATTTGATTCCCGGGTTGGAAGTGCACAAATTATAAAATTTAAAAAAATTTAAAAAATCATATTTGATTGGGGGGGGGGCCAAAAGGCATGTTGAAACCCCCTAAAAGGGTTGGCAATGATTAATGTAAATTTTAAAAAAATTTTTAACCTTTTTTCCATTTTAAATTTTATATTGCTTTTTATTTGGATAATACCCAAAATCGTAAATGTTTTGCTTTTATTATTTTTTTGTTTTTAGCCCCATTTTTGTTTAGGTAGGATTAACATTTTTATTTTCTCAGTTCAAGTTTGTTTGCAAACCCTACGGGAAATTATCGCTCTTTGTCGTTCCCTGCCCGGCTTCTTGCTGGGCAGCACCCATGGAGCAAAATCCACTTGATCGGGGGGGGGTTGTCCCACCTCCCCTTTGAAGTATTCAGTCGGGGTTCAGACTCTCTTGGGGGTTGGATTTTCCCGACAAGAGCCAAACCTTTTCCCCTTTTTTGGGGCCCTTTGGTTGGAAGATCGTCTCTTGTCTTTTTATTGTTAGTTCTGGAAAGACTGTTCACAAAACATTGTATAAAACTTATTGTTTTTTCGACTTGTACTGAGGTTGTGTGTGCAAAGGACACTCTAAGAAACCCCGGGGTCCCTGAGTTGTAGCTTCTGACCTAATTTGTATGGAACTGTGTAAAATCCCCATTTCGGGGTTTTTTCTTATGTGAACTTGGATTCAGATATTTTTATGGGATTTTTGTAAACTTTTGTGGAGGATCTGCAAAATGGTCCCTACTTATGTGGGTTATATTTCCCCTTGTTCCTGTTTTCTGTGTCGCAGTTCTTGTTTTTTTTGCTTTTGGGCTTAAAATTCTTTTTATTGTTAAAGCAGACGTTCTGACTGAAATTTTGGTCAAAAAGTTAGTTTTTTTTGGGGGATTTTTGTCAGTCACTTTTTTTAAAGGGTCTAGTTGAGTCTTGAGACAAAAAGCGAATTACTTAGAGCACTTACACACATACACAAACTTACTTGTACATTTTTTTGAAATATTTTGTTAAATTTTAAGGGACCAGACGGAAACTTAAAATTTAATAAACGGATATCCCGCTTTCAGCACAAAATTTATGTAAAATAGAGAATGATTATTATTAATTTGTTTAAAATTGAGAAATTTTTAATTTAAAAATGAAAATCCCTTTAAGGAAAATTTTAACTTAATAAATTAAAGTAAATTTTTTAATTTTTCTCTAGTTATTTAACCCTTTCCATTTGTAATCCTGAAGCACAAATTAAAATATACTGAATTCAATGGATAATTGGAAAAGGGGTTTCTGAAACTTGTTACAAAAACCCAGAAACGGCTGGATGCTAAAAGGGGCGGGTCCTTTCTTTGTATTCACTGGCATTCAAGGGTTTTTTGGAAATCGCGTTTTTTGTAACAAATGGGGGCCTCCCAGGAGGGCCCCTTAAACCAAGGTTTTGGGAAAGAAATTTTTCCCTTTTTGACATACTGGGAATTTAATGATCAAAACATTTTGAGTACTTTCCTAACTGAAAATTTGATTTTTAGTCTTGTAAAACAAATTTGGTTGGATGTATTACTTGACTGGTCTCTTGTTCCAAGGGAGAGGGAAAATTTACTTTTTAATGAGCTCTAGTTCTAAGAAAACCCAAACACTAAAATTCCTTTTTGGGATTATGGGTTTCCCATAATCACTCTCTCGTATTTTAACATTTATTTCGTGTTTATCCCCAAAGTAAAAACATTAAATTTGATACTTTAAAATTTTGGTTTTGAGTTAAGTACTTTAAAAACTTAAAGACGTGTTGGCGATTAGCCAAATATCTCGATGTGACGATAACGGAAAAAAAACACCGCAGAAACTGTCAGAGCTTTAATTTAAAATGATATTTTGTTTCCGCTCAAAACAGAGACTTTCGGGTTATGTTTAAAATTCAAAAAGGGCCTGGGTCACAATTAAGAAGTATGAAATTTAAAGAAGAAGAAAGAGCAGCTAAGGCAGAAGTGAGCCTAGTGTCTGAGCCCAGGTTTGCTCAGTTGTCGCTCACACCTTCCCCCCTAAAAAGTTAGCTTGACGCAGCCCCATACTAGTTTCCGTGTATGCTACACCTGTATCTACTTTTTTCCTAGAACCAGATCTAGACTCTCTGGGACGGCCGGGCGAAAGGGGCCCACCTAAGGAAAAGTCCAGAAAGAATGTTTTTTTTCCCTACTTTCCCCCATTACCTACTGGTCCCATCCTCGGAACGTTTAGGGTTTAGAACGTCTCATTATGTTGCAGACTGCACAAATAGAGGGTCAGAGGAAAATTTTAACGAAGAAAATTTTTCCCGAGAGAAAAAAGGTTGTCTGGGAAAGAAAAAGATGATAGATCACAGGAAAAACATTTTTAAAGTGGGTAAAGCTGCATCCCTGGTTCCTAAGTTTTTTTTAGAGTGACTTTGACACCTATTTTGATGTGTTTTTAAACCAGGCACGTTTTAAAGAACTGGCCCCGTAAGCACTGGATTCCTTGTTGCACAC